GCGCGGGGCAGTTGCATGTGGGCATATCATGCTGCTGTGGGCCTTGTTCGGGTCCACTGGGCGGGGCATGGGGCTGCTGCCCCGATACCTGTGGCTACATCCCCCGATTCAGGAAAATGCTGCGTCGATTGGCCGTCGCTCTTTGTCGCCTTTGCTTATATTAGCCTCGTTAGCATTTTCCCTGAAGAAGCATTACCTCTTTTCCTCTCCACGTCCCCCCAGCACCCCCTGTGCGTGGCTCGACACCACTGTGTTATTGGGCCGCTCTCTCTGGTGTGTGTGTAGGTGGTGAGCGCAACCGGTTGCATCTGGCCAAGACTCTGAAGCAGGTGGGCTCCCACATGTATATGTGTGTGTATATATATATATGTGTATATATATAATATATATAATATATATTATATATATTATATAAAAAATATATATTATATGTAATATTATATATATATATATATATTTTAGCATATCGCAGACAACGCATTATGGCTCAGGCATCTTTTTGCTTATGTACGACAAATGTACGAAAATGGAATATTTCCTGATCGTTGCTTATGTAACAGGTAGTGTAAACCCTAAGAGTAAAGGTGTATCGATGTGGCATGCACACAACCGAAGCCAGACATGTGTGTTTGTCAATCCGCCACACAGGCCGGCAACTTGCTCTTGCTGGACGAGCCGACCAACGACCTAGACGTAGATACACTTCGGTGAGCGGCTTACCTGTGCGTGTTTACGTTTATGTTCTTGATTGTCCGACAGACAGACAGACAGACAGACAGGTTGATATGTACGAACAGCTAAGAACAGTTCGTATGTATCAACCTAGGCCTGTCTGTCCGTGCATACCGCTTCATACGTACCTGCCAGCATAATGGGGCGCCGCTGCCTCCCCAATCCGTCCTCGAAGCTTGAGTGTTTATCTGCCCCATGCGCCATGCTTTTAAACATAGATGATGACCCCTCGAAACATGTCCTCCTCCAGGGTTTGAGGGTTACGATTATGCATGCGGGGTGATACATGCGGGGTGTGATGCATGATTAAACCTGGGGGGCCTGTGTGACACAACGGGCCACCATGGGAAAGACATCGCCAGGGGGAATTTCTCCAAAGCCAGGAGGGGGAAGGGGTGTGTATGCTGTGAAGTGGCGGCCCACTGCCCCTCTTTACCCCTCTTTCTCCTCGACCTAGATGCGGCTGCGCAGGTACACGCTGAGAGCCTGCCACACGACGAGAAGCACACTGATTATTAATCGCCCCGGACAGCTACCCACCTGGCCCGGGCGGCCCCGTTCGCCTTGGGTAAAATTCCACCTGAGGCTGTGCAAATGTTGCTCTAGCGTGTGTGTGTGTGTGTGTGTGTGTGTGTGTGTGTGTGTGTGGTTTTTACTGCAGGTGTTTGGAGGAGGCTATTTTGAACTTTGCTGGCACCACCCTCATCATTTCACACGACCGGTGGTTCCTGGACCGAGTTGCCACCCATATCCTCGCCTTCGAGGGAGACTCCAAGGTATGCGAGTGCGTGTGCGTGCGTGCGTGCCTGTGTGTGTGCGCGCGCGTGTGTGCGTATGTGTGTGTGTGTGTGTTTGATGTTTGTTTTAATCTTTTTGTTTGCTGTTTGTAATCTTTGATTTTTAAACTTCGGTGTTTGGTTTTTGCTAATGTAAATATTTAGGAGTGAGTGAATGGGCACATGAATGGATGGGTGGATGAATGACGTGTTACAATCGATATCCGGTTGTTGATGCGGGTTCCTTACTGCAAGATGCTGACGCCGAGTCTTCTACGGCAGATGGATTACACAATGAAGCGATCGCCAGCACAGCAGCACTGCCCGATAACTTTGATGAAACTTAGATACCGTTATATATGTATGTGTGCGTGTATGTGTGTGTGTATGTATGCGTGTATGTGTGCGTGTATGTGTGTGTATGTATGCGTGTATGTGTGCGTGTATGTGCGTGTATGTGTGTGTATGTGTGTGTATGTGTGTATGTGTGTGTATGTGTGTGTAGACCTCTATGCCATACATATCTGCGTGGGTGCGTAAGTGGCGGGGTAGAAGCGGAGCGGGTCGATATGGCTGTGACTTTTTGTGCGGTCGGGGTAGCTTTGGAGGTGCTTTGCTTCCCTTCCTCTCCCACCCAATCCCACTTGCAGCACACAAGCCCAGACATGCACCCCAACGTGCTTCACCACCAGACCACCGACCCCATCCCACCCGGCCATGTTATCGACCTCCGAATCACCCTCCGCGTCTTCTTCTTCTTCTTCTTCTTCTGTTCTTCCCCGCAGCTGCACTTCTTCGCGGGCGGCTACAGCGACTACGAGGAGGACAGGAGGCGGCGACTGGGCAGCGGGTCAGCGCCCAGCAGGCTCAAGTTCCGCAAGCTAGCGACCGTGTAGGGCTGACGGCAACGGCAACGATGATGTTTACTGATAGAATACCTGATGCTGGCAATCCTGATAGGGTACTGGTGATGATGATTGTGATGGCGGCGTTGGTGAGGTTGATGGTGCTGCTGATGGTGCTTGGGGGTGAGGGTGACACACACTGATGATGATGATGATGCGTAGTGGCGTTTTAGGTAGAGTGTGTGTAGAGCAGTGGCAGTTTAGCGGCAGGGGGGCGGGATGGACTGGGTAGACCTCGGTTCGCCCGAAGTGGTGGAGCCCACCACACAACAACAACAACAACAACAACAAGAACAAGGCAGCCTGCCAGGGTGCACGGGTGCATGATGGTGCGTGATTTACGGACTGTTTTCGGATAAAACGGAACAGTCATGATCTTTCGGCCATGACAAGGAGAAAGAAAACGTTTCCGGATTGTGGAGTACATCATCCGGCCTAACGCGAAACAAAAACTTCACCTGGAAGCGAAGGGTATTAAAGCAACGCCTGAGATGTTGATGAGGAAGCGACGTTGGCCTCCCAAGTCCGAGGCCTCTCCAAAGCCAGGTGAACGACGCAGAAGCAGCGCAGATGACAGCGCCTCTTGGAGGGAAGGATTGAAAACTTGTGTGACTTTTGTGTATACTAAAGAGGGTTTTGAGGACTGTACTGTTGATACCGAAACCTCCTTCGAATAGAGGGAGAGAGGGAGTACTAGAGCTGGGCTTCTCTGCGAAACCCGACAGGATAGGTCAAGGCGGTTGGCGATATGTCTTGGCGGCAGTAGATAGCCTGCTGGGGCTCTGCATGACCGACATGCAGACCGCGACAGTTGCGAGCTGCGAACGTCGTACGCGGCTTGAGCGCGGAGGTTGGCAGCTTCTTGTTCTTGGAGGACTCCAAAAGCAAAGGTGAGATAGACTGACGCTCTTGCGGTGATTTTACAGGTCGATACCCTTACAAAGAGATATGTAGTAGTACTTTCAGGTCATGCAGCAACCCTTAATATTAAACACGAAGGTCTTCTTGTAGCAATCGATAGTTGTTGCAAACCCATTTCTATTGCATGTTTAGTGTGCCCGTACGCCGCCTATGTTCGACGCGATCTAGCGCTTTTACACGTGTACATGTATGATCGTTACTGATATCAGCCATTACGGATTTTGGCATAGACCCCTAACATCAGTGGATATTGACCGCGCTGATCAGTAACACACATATCGTTGTTGATTTAGTGACCAAATCGGCGCTCTTAATGGTGCATTTTGCCATCTTGTGATAATATTGTATAGGATGTTGTGGTATCGCCGTTTCGAATGGGCTGTTGGAGGAGCCAGGGGCTGTACATCAGGGGCCCTATTGCCGTCGGGAGGTTCTCCAACGCACGGAGGTTTCAGATTGTCTCTCTGCGCTGTTTGTATGCTTAGCTTTCTCTGTGCATGTTTTATTTTTCTTTCAGTAAGAGTGTTTTAAGGATAAGACCGTTTTGCATGCGTTAGTGCGTGCTTGTATTGGTCAGCCCTCTGCTCAAAGAACATGGTCCAGCTGCTTTCGAGTGTGCTCATGTTCTTCAAAGTTTAAAAGGTTACATATACTTGTTATTTTGTATTGACTAGGTATACTCTAGGTGAAGTCCTTGCAAAGACGGAGCATAGGTCGCTTTACAAGCTTATTGCTACCATCTAACAATGGGCGCTCAAGCGGAACGAACAGAGATGGCGGATCACCTCTGTGTCAACGGCGTTAGGGACCAGGACAACCAGAAGACTCACGACGGGCAGGAGACATCCCAGCACCACCACCAACATGCCCATCGCGTGCATGCAACTGGTCTTTCGTTCAACTTCCAAAAAATAGTTACTGCAGCTCGTAAATCTTTCGAGCTTACTCCACGCGACGTAGAGGTAGGCAGCTCGGAGCTGTCCAAGTGTTGCATCTGTCCGTAAACGCAGGCCCCTGATCTTTCGCAGCCGTAGGTTGCAAAACTTTTGCTTAAGGATGGTCTTTTCATGAAGCACTCCGCGCCCAGCTCTGTTCAGTGCAGCTTGTTTTGCACGCTGCTTGGTCTTTCGGGCTTGCGCATGGTGCCTGCTAGAGCCTTCTACGGCTCTTGTTGTTGCCGGTGAAACATTTATTACTGACGAAGGATAAATCAGTAATGTGAATGTGTGTGTCTCCTTTGCCCATACACGGATTTGCATATTGGTTAAGAAAACTGCCGATTGAACTCTGGTCGCAGCGGCTAGGACGGCACACCCTTAACCTTCGGATATTTTGAATACTGAGGCAGCGAAGAGCGGACATCTTATTATTAATGCACGGCGTTTTGTTTGTCGCAGCTGTTTATGTGTCAGGTGGTTGTGGGAGGGCGATGCGTCTATGCTAGCCCTCCGGTTCGTTGGCACCCTGGCAGATCGGACGGAGAAAAAACGTATTGTTCACGACGCTTTCGTAGTGCGCCCTGTAATCTCTGCTCTAACGCATTCTCTCTGTATCAGATGCCGTCTAGTTGCGGTACTAGTGGGCGCGCGCAGGCGGGGCAGGTGCCCACCATTGCTGCGCCCTGTGTACTGGAACGGAGTGAGTTCGGCGCTTCTACGCACGCACGCACGCACAAGACACGCACATACTAAAACACGAACGAGCGTATCTGTGAAGCGTTGTGCGAGCACGATGGCGGTCTTTATCGTTGGAGAGATCCGAATCCCGCCTGAACCAAGCGGCGGCAGCCCTTGACACGAGAACAATATGCGTGGGGCGTTTATTTGCTGATCTGAGGGTGGCCGCGGTGATAATGGTGGTGGTGGTGGTGTGGGAGGCGATGGTGGTGTGATAATTGTTGTAATGTTGGTTGTAGGCGCGACAACGGCATTGGTTGCTTCAGCTTCTACACGAAGCATGGAAACAGTGTCTTTTACACTCCAATATACGTCTCCTACTCCCCGACCAGCTAACTATCCAATTCCAATCCGGTCGGTTTGCGACCTTGTTGCCCTGTGCCGTGTTGCCTCTGCAGAGGGATCCCAACGCGCCGCCACCGACCATGAAGCGCTACTTCACTCAGGTGCGTGGCCGTGGAAGAGATGTTTGTTCAGATTTTTTGTTTCTGAACAGAAATGTGCATTTCCTTAAAAGCAGCAATTTGTAAACTATGTGCATAATGTGTGTGCGTGTGTGTGCGTGTGTGCCTGTGTGCCTGTGTGTGTGCGTGTGTGTGTGCGTGTGTGTGTGTGTGTGTGTGTGTGTGTTTGCGCGTGTGTGCGCGTGTGTGCGTGTGTGTGCGTGAGTGTGCGTGTGTGTCTGTGTGTGTCTGTGCGTGTGTGTGTGCGGGCGCGTGTGTGTGTATGTGCGGGCGCGCGCGCTAGGGTAAGGCCAGCAAGGCCCCCTGGCTTGAAGCGCAGCGGCCAAAGCAAGCACGGCCTAATGGTATCCGCCTGTATGAGAATATCTTTAGGTTTATATCGAGCTCTGTGTTGTGCGATCGTGATGTATGAGGCGATTCAAGACATCCTTACAGTTTACAGCAGACCGAAGCTTATTGTGTGTGTGTATATCAATAATATTATATATAATATTATATATAATATTATATATATAGTGTGTGTATGTGTGTGTCGTGTTGTGAAAGATTTGCAGTCCCTGACGTGACTGGGGACCGCCTCCTGGCCCCGGGGTAGCAGCGGTGTCAGCTCCCTTCCCTGCACTGCCACCCCTCCTACAGGCGCTCTGGTTGGACCATCAAGATGGCATGCACGTGGCGCAGTGAGTCGACCGGGAGAGTGGAGGGAGGGGGAAGGAGGAGGAAGGAAGGGGGAAGGGAGTAAAAGGGGAGGGAGGAGGAGAGGAGGGGAAAAAGGAGTGAGGCAGGGGAGGGGGGATGGAACCTGCGGAAGTGTGGTCGTGGGGGCAATTGCTGTGTCCTTACGCGTGCCCCTGATGGCGTGTGCTTCCCGAACTGAACTGAACTGCCTCCTGTTGTTGGCCTGTGGCTTGACCTGTGCGTGTGTGTGTGTGCGTGTGTGTGTATGTGTGTCTGCCCGTCCTGCTTTGTGCGTCCTCGCATATCGTAGCGCGGCACCCCCGGGGATGGACGAGGCGTTCATCCCGCCGGATAGCGACGAGGACGAGCACGAATACGTTGAGCACGTTGACTTGAAGGTATGAAATGCCGGTAGATTGATGACATATTTTTAATCCTGCAGCTGCTGTAAGCAATGGTTTGCGTCGCGGATCTGGATTCGAGAGTTCAAGGGATTTTCTCTAATCTGTAGTCTGTAGTCTGTAGTAGGATGCATTATGTTGGGATATCGAAAAGGGTCGGAGGCAGAATCGCCTCCATCGCGGCGAATTGAAGTTCGGTGGAAGCGAGGCTTTTGAAGTAAGTTGATCACCGTTGCGGTTGAGGTATTATGCATCGCCAACTACCGTATCTGGCGTGGAGAAGCGACTTTTTCATAAGCTTAGTGGTTAAATAGTAAAAAACAATTCCCATAGTTATTGGGTGCTCAAAACTGTTGCTTCTTACGAATGGTTTGTAAGGCTTTAGTTCGCCGTCTGTCATACAGCATCCGTCAAATGTCGTCGTTGGAACGCCTGTCAGACATGCGCACAATCCATTTAGCGTCCCGTGAACTTTTCTTGTTATTATAATTCTGGTTGGCTGGCATTTGCGTCGATGTTCGTTTGTTTCGCAATTTTGTGAAAAGGCATACGATCTGCTTTCGTCGAGGCAACATGGATACCGAGATTTCGGCTGTGGAATCAACAGATCATTTGGCACGGTTGGAGAGCATCCTATCCATCGGGTCGACTGATGAAGTACATGATCGTATGTATAGCAATAGCACCAGCATGACGTATGCAGCTGCTCCTGAAGGACCTGATGTTTCCTGTTTGCAACAGCTGCCTCCGGTACTTGATGGCAATGGAGGCGCGCCTGCGCAGGGAGTAAACAATTACACTTGGCGGCTCATTTACCTCTCTTTGATTTTAATCCGCACAGCAAATTCGTTTGCGGCTGCGTTTTTTGGCCTTTGCTCATAGTTGCGTCCTTATCCTCAATAAGATCGCAATGCCCCTCACCATCAGCCGCTTTACGTTGCCCTTTCAGCAGGTTGATCAAGTCCGAGCGTAAGATTATAATCGCATAATGTTTTTATTTTATTTTAAGACCGCTGAAACCCACGGTGCCTTTGCTGCTGCCCCTCCCCCAGGCCATCAGCTTGGCCGGTCTTCGGGAATTTGTACGGCAACACAACATCAAACCGACCATGACTACGCAGCAGGTAATTAGGATAAGGATAATCAAGCGTCGGCGCTTCATGTTGTCACACGCACACACACATACACACACACACACAACACACGCACACACACACACACAACACACGCACACACACACACACAACACACGCACACACACACAACACACGCACACGCACACACACAACACACGCACACGCACACGCACACGCACAACACACGCACACGCACACACACAACACACGCACACACACACACAACACACGCACACACACACACAACACACGCACACACACAGACACACAACACACCCACAGACAGACAGACAGACAGACAGACACCCACACACGCAAACACGGAGACACAAACGCACAAAGGGGCGGGTATAGCCTGCCTGCGCAAGGTTGTAGTGGTTGAAGGTGGTCTGGATGGGCTAGTGACCTTCAAACGGTCCCTTCCCTGCTTTTGGTATTTCCATCCTCTATCTCTTTACCTTTTACATCTTATCTCCTACCTGTGACCTCTGGCATCATATCCGCCTTTCCTCAGGTGGTTCGATCTATCGTCATTCCAGCGACACTGGGCCGTCAGAACTGCGCTCTGGCGGACACAGACCAGCTGCGGCGTTACGCTTTGCCCCCCCTGGACTCACCAGGTGCTGCCGCCGCACGCAAGGCCGCCGGGCCGCCGCCGCCGTACACGCGCATGCCTAAGCGCCGCATGCCGGCAGGCATGAAACGGCGGGCGCCGTACCATTATGTCGTACATGCTTGGTCACGGCCGTTCATGGAGATGGTCGGCCTTTTGGAGACACATTTTGCCGGGTAAGAAAGGGCCCGCCCGCGATTGGATTAGAACGAGGCAGGGAGGGAAGAAGGTGGCGTTGCATGTTGCGTCCCGTGCGATCTCTCGGGTAGGCCTCGAGCCTGAGGTTTTAGCTGATGACCATCGGAGCTTCGAAACTACTTCACACGAAAATAAAAAAAATCATGAAACATTTTTTGACCCTCCAGGCGCCCGGCGGAGCATACGTACATCTGGCTGGACGTGTTTGCCGTACCGCAAGTATCGTCCAACCACAGCGGCTTCGTACAGGAGGTACGGTACGAGGTCGGGGAGGAATTCCGGGGTGGGCTGGGGGCTGGGGGGGCCGGAAAGTGTGCATGGGAGTTGACGTGCATTAATAATATTACGATATGGTTTTTGTTCATATCAATGCAAATGTGCCAATATGAGGGCCCCAGGCAGTCAGCACCACGCAGGCACACGCACACTAGCTCCAACCCCTTCCATGATCCCTCCCTCGTTTCTTCCCCCTTCCTTCCCTCACACCCTCCTGCATCCCCCACCCCCCACCTCCCAATCTACCCCCCACCACACAAACCAGCCCTCATCCCACACACCACCCCACACACGCCACCTGTCGCTGTCTCACCGCAGATCCAACGCGCCATCTGGTACGCGAGCACTACCGTCGCCTGTTTCGACCCCGCTGGTACCATTTTGAGTCGGTTATGGTGCCTGTACGAGATGTTCTACACGCTCATCTCCAAGCAATGCGCGCAAGTGAGGAACCTCGTCGTGAGAGTATGCGCCATGCGCGAACTCCCGCCCCAATTAATGAACCCACTTGAATGCCCCGACAGCTCCGCCGTGGCAACCACCTTATCCCGCCCCTGTTTCCGAACCTGAGTACGAATAATACGGAGCTGTACTGTGTAGACTGAGATGTCGTGCTGTTGTTGTCGCATATTGTACGTAGATGAATAGGTTTCAGAGGGGCAAAAATGTTGGTTTTGAGAAGATATACCAATTCACGAGGTGCGCACCTCGGTTTGGGTTGACTGCGGTTCCCTTTTTTTTCAATTCTCCATCCCGCTTGAACTTCCCCCTTCAGGCGCTCGTCGCGCTCACTTCTGTGCCTTTCACAGCGGCGCAGCGTACGGCGATGTACCGTAAGATTGACGCTGCCAAGGCACGATGCGCGGTTAAGGAGGACATGAAGAAGCTGATCGAGCATGTTCAGGGCTATACCCGGTATGTCTGTATGTGTGTGTTTGTGCGTCGTATGTCTACGGTATGAACCAGGATGGCCTTGCGGTGGTAAATGAAAAAGTAACGTACTTCGTACAAATTAGATATGCACTGACGTTAGATTTAAAAAATAGCTCCCCCCCCCCCTTTGCGGGTTTTGGACTGAAATATCCCGCAACGCAACCCGATTGAGCAAACAGCGCAACGTAGTATGGCGGAGACCTCGCTAACCAGGCTAATCTCTTCTCGTCTTTTCGTTGCTCTTTTTTTAATCTCTCCTGCAGACGCGGCTTCCCCGCCATCAACAACTACATCCGCAGCGGGCTCATGCTGCCGCCGTACGACCATGCTGGCGTGTACTTACCGGTATGTACTCTAGTACGTTGGTTGTGATACATATCGCACTGGCTTTCTATGGCCGCTAGTGACGCTACCCGCCCCCATTTTTGGAGGGGCGTTCTAACGGTCAGCGTCAAGTCTAACCAACATATTTCATTATGTGTCTCTCTCGCCCGTCATCATCACCTCGTTTATGTTCTGGGCGTTAGTAACGCTGTGAAAGAAAGAGAAATGCGGTGAAAGATATGCCAATATATGCATGTGTGGTCATATGACACGTCATGCTCTGCGCGTTCAAGAAACGCAATGAGTCCACGTGATCCGAGGCTCCACGTGTGGATCGGTATGTACATGACGCCAGGGGGGATTAGTTTGGCAGTTTGTACAACACAAATACCAACTGCTCAAGATCCCAGGTCAATCTTGGCTGCGTGATGGTTTTGTCGACTTGGCTTTTCTTTTAAAGTGGTACGATCGTACGGTCTTACTTCAATCTAAACTAGCAATCGTAAATAGCAGCGTTTTCATTTTGCCGCACAACCATATGCAGGCGGGCTATGAAGAGAAGTCGGGATTCCTGTCCTGCTTGCCATGCGTTGCGCCGCCGGCACCGCCGCCGCCGCCACCGGTTCCGGAGCACGTCGCCATGGTTCCGGAGGTCGCGGAGCCATCTGTACGGCTGCCACCGGCGGAGGGCGGCGCCGCCGCGACGGGACCTCGGCATCATCTCGCCCAGCTGCAGCCTTACTTGTATCACGAACGGCCCCTGCGGCTGGTGATGGGCGCCTGCAACATCCCTCACCCGTCCAAGACCAAGACCGGGGGCGAGGACGCGTTTTTCATATCGTCTGCGGGTCGCGGGGCTCTGGGGGTGGCGGACGGAGTGGGCAGCTGGAGCTCCGATGACGGTGTGGACCCGGCGGCATACTCGCGCGATCTGATGAGAGCTGCTGCGGCCAGCTTGGAGGCATCCGCCGGGAAAATACGTAGGTGGAAATGGAGTTGACCGCCAGTGTGCGTATCGGCGTGTATACATAATTATATATGATATACCCTCTGTCTCTGCGGATGTACGGGTGAATGGATGAGGAGGGATCCTAGCTTAAAGGCAGGATCAACCGCCTTGGACTTCCAGTTCGTATGGCGTAGTACAATGTGGTAATGGTGGATGGTGCTGAATGGTATGATAAATCGTAGAAATGACAATGTGTTCAAGTGGCCCAGAAGCCTCCCACCCTGTAACAATAAAAAAATTATATATATAATTAAAAATTCATATATAAGAATATATATTTTTATATTGTTACATACATATATATATGCTCCCGACCCTTGCGCTGTGTTTCGGCTTCGGCCCCCGGCTCTCGCGGCCCACAGTGTAATCTAAGTCATATATGTACACATGTATATATGTATATGTAAATGTATGTGTGCATGATACCACACATCTCGTCTGCGGCTTAATCCGAGATAGATCTTATTCTTTCAGGTGGCACGCGTCCTGGAAGCCTGCTGCCCAAATTTGTGTGCAACTTGAAAATTTTCGGGGACACGGCATCCAACACAATGATATTGTTAAAATTAGGGTTGAAATTTGCAAATTAGGGCAATTGTGCCCCCAAATACAACGCCGGTAACCCGTTGCGATTACGATATTCACATGCATGCACATATTCACGCACACGCTAAATTATGTTTACATACTTACATATACAATCTGGCGTGTATATACACTATACATACATATACACATGCATTCACGTGTGTTCTTACATATGTATGTGTATTTATGATGCTGATTTTGCGCCCTGTCCTGACGTGAATGGTAAGCATGCCGATCGGAGGATGAAACCATTACCACTATCGTAAGGTAGTCGATAACCATCGTGTCCCGCCTGGTACTGCATGTCGTACACTGTCGTCCTGCCGTAGCCGCCCGTATGGCGCTGGCGGATGCGCACTTGGCGGTCAAACACGCGGGCAGCTGCACCGGCCTCATCGGGGTGCTGCCGCCAGACAGCAATAACTTGCAGGTGCGTGTGTGTGTCGTACATGTGTTCGTACAGGCGTCCGTACAGGTGTGTTTTCTTTGCCTTTTATTGGCATCTTGTTTGTATGTATGTATGTTTGTTGTTTGTCGTGTGTTCTGTAGTGTATTTGCGTGCATAATTAAGACTCCATATGAGATGTGCGGTTCTTGGTTAGCACATGTGGCAATGTGACAAACAGTGCTGTGCTAGTTTAAGCTATAATTCCAAAGCGTGTTTACGTATGTGGAGTATGTGCTCGTGCGCAGCTTTGAAGATGTGACTAGTTCTGCGCTGAGGTGCCCGAGGCGTAGGAGGAGGAGGCAGAGGAGAGGAGTACCCCACACATACACACGCAGACGCGCGCATATAACCTCCCTCATCCCTCCTGCCAACCCCCAACTGCCAGGTTCTCAACTTGGGCGACAGCGGGCTTCGATTGGTGCGGGGAGGGAGATTGGCTATGGCCACTCGACCGCAGGTGTGGGGCGGGAGCACGTACACGCGTGTGTGCGTACGTACGTACGGTGTGTAGTTTGAGGGGGCATTGAGGGGGGGAAGTAGGGGAAGAAACCAGGATTAGGACCGCTTCACATGATATTTTTCTGGAGTTCCGTTCGTGTCGTCTAGGCTAGGCGTGTGAAAGACCCGACTGTCCCTCGGTGGAGAGGGGCCCGCTGTGTTTACTGAAGGACATACAGACGGACGGACAGACTTGTTTTGTTGGTGAAAGGGCTCTCCCTCCCGAGGGTGGGGGTTATTCCTTATTCCTGTGCACACTACCCTGGTTCAGTTCAACCTGTCCACTACTCGCTAATGTACTCGCCAACCACCTACCAAGAAGCAAACCAACCAACGAACCAGCAAAACATCTGCCCAGCCACTCTTCCTCAGCTATCCCTCTGCCACTTAACCTTTTCCTCGCCCTCTTTCTCACCCTCCTCGCTTTTCCCTTTCTCTGGCCAGTCACATTCGCACAACATGCCGTACCAACTGGCGTGTCCTGATGAGCCTGTGTGTGATACGGACTCCACCGTACAGGTGAATCGGGCTGGGGATTTTGTAATGGCAAAGGGGTGTTGTAATAATTGACGCGCTGAAAATGCCTGGTGCTGCCTTTTCCTGACTTGAGAGATGTATTGTTGGTGCAATGTGATGTGATGTGATGATATGATATGATAAGATACAACGGTTTCCTAAGCGATCTCAGTTTTTCTATTTGAATATGCACGTAGGGAGATCTGTACAGCATTCCGTTGGAGGCAGGTGACATTATCATCATGGCGACAGACGGATTGTACGACAACCTTTGGCCCGAGGCCATGCTGGACATTGTCAACCGGGTACGTCAAATGTTCAGCAGTACGAACAATTTACCGCTGCCACGGTCTGTGGTGAAGTATTAACAGCATAATGCTGTATTTAATAAATCGTACCCGTACTGTCGTACCGGATAAATCTCATCAGATGACTACATGGAAACCTTGTTGGGTAGCTTTAAGTTTTGTTTACGAACAACTTTTTTTATGATATCATCTTCAGGCGATGTCGACTGTGGAGGAAGACGCCCGGTTGTATGTGGCGGCGGAGGGCGGCAAGAACGCCATCGCAGCAACCATGACGGCCAAGAGTACGGCATCGTCGCTGACGACGTCGCCGTCAGGGGCCGACAGCTGCAGTACAGCCACCGACGGCGACGTCAACAACTCAGGGGGAGCTCCTTCTGGTGAGGTGTCCCCCGAGCCAAAGTTGGTCACCGCGGGGGGTAGCGGCAGCGGCAGCGGCGGCGCCACTACGACAGGCAGTGGCGGCGGCGCCGCACCGGCAACATCGGTGGCGGCGGCCGCGGCGGCTGCGAAGGCAGCGGCCGCGGCGATGTCCAACGGTCGACCTGAAGGAGAGGACGGCATCGGAAAGCATGCTCCAGTGGCGGGCGATAACGGGGAGGTGAGGGTGTGTTGGTTGATAACGGTTGTGGGACGGTGGGAAGCGGTTGGTGGCGGTTGTGAGAGTGCTTACATCTTCAAACAACCTCTCGCTGTCACTTATATCTCGCTAACATTTAACAGCCTGATGTTTAAGCTCTTGCCTAACGATCCTATTTCTTATTAAGCCGTCGTGTTTATGAATAATCTCTACAACTAACAATTTAAAGCTATCAGCTGACCGGGCCTTATCGTGATTTCACCTTTCTCATTAGGTAATGATTTACCGGTCGCTACGATGCCCTGTACCCGGGGGGGGGGGGGAAGATGAGGCTATGCTGGGTTTTGAACGGTTTTAGCTACAGAGCTGTCAGGCATGACGGCAGAAGAGCGCGGTAAGCGTGGTCCACTTTTGTGCGCCTGTATCCAACCTCGGTGTTACTCCCGGGGCCCTCTTTCCCCCCCCCCCCCGGGGG